ATGCAGTGATACGATGTGTACGAAAACAGGTAAAGGTTAGTAAAGGTTAGAAGTCTTCGGCCGCAAGGGCCGGAGGATTGGAAGAGAACAAGAAAGGGTCGCACGGGATGCGGCGGCCACGATCTAAATCGGCCAAAGGCTCAAGCGATAAGGCAAAAATGAATTAGAACGAGTGACGGGGCGTTGGACCGGCCGGTATGGAAAAGTCGGTTCGTCGCTCCGTCGTAAAATCTAAAGATGACTGAAAAATTAATGTAACCCCGACCATGTGGCTGGGGCAGCCAAGAGAAATGCACTGCCTACCATAATTAGGAACGACAGTCGGTACCTCTGTCTTTGCTCGTATACCGCAAGTGAGGTTGAGGCTCTAGCTCAACCTCCTATATGCAGAGAGAGAAGGTTACTTCTTGGGCGGTGACTTCCTGATTACGTGGCCACCCAAGCAATTGGTGCCTTCGTCCCTTTGCAAGGGGAGACACTGTTGCAAGCTCTGATACCGTCCGCACAGGGCCTGGATTCAAGCTACTCGAACTAGTACCTGCCTACCTAACGGTGCTGGGCCTCTAAAAATGTCAACTTTTGTCTTCTTCTGCTCAGCCTCGAGCACCCGACAGATCTACTTATACTTGGTGTGGTATCGACCTACCTGCTCCTTGAGTGTTTTCCGCTGCTTTTAAGTGTCACGGGCCTCTTTCCCCGCTACTTGAGTGTTTTCCCCACCGCAACCCTTCATGTCACAACCATAGGCAATTACCGACCCTTCGAGCCTTCCAATCAATCAAGTGTCCTTGCGGGTCACACACACACTCAAGCCGACAAACACTCAGACAGATACACAGACCAACAAGAGTACACACACACAAAGCTAGAAATGGGCCCGATCCACTAGTTGGACTAGGCCCCACTACTGTACTTATACAAGAGTTGCTCTTTTTTTTTCCAAAGTGGGAGCTAGCTTAGTAGGTATGGGTACGGACTATTAAGCAACAAACTCAAGGATCGAGTCCACATGACCCTTGAACTAGCTTTTTTTTGTTAAGGAGCACCACAACGCTTTCACCCAGGCTCAAGCGATCACGGTTCGATTCTGTGACCTATTTATTAGAAGTTAGTAGTTGGTTGGAAACCAAATACTAACAAAGTTAAACTAACTGACTAACTTCTCATGCCACTTATCGTGCATATTTATTGTTATTTCTTTATTTTTATTTTTCTTCGCCTTTTTACGATTCCGAGCTCCATACTGTAAATTCATATGGACGAATCTACACCAAAGTCACGGACGGAGTCAGTCTCGAAAACAGACACTGCCTGTGTACCACGACTAAGGCCTGACCGAGCCCCTGGACAATTCAATGGAAAGCTCGCGTACGACCAACAGGTGTGAGAAGAGGCTGGGCGTGACCACAAAGTCGAGGGGGAGAGAAGGGAGAGTGGGGAGTAGCGTGAGGAAGGAAGGGCGGGGTTGATGCAATGATGCTTAGAAGGAGGGAAGAAGGACACACGAAGGAGAAGAAAAGGAGTGCGACCTAGATGAGAGAGATACGAGGCGTGCGGGAGTAGAGGAAGAAGAAGTAGTAGTAGTAGTAGTAGTAGAAGAAGAAGAAGAAGAAGAAGAAGAAGAAGAAGAAGAAGAAGAAGAAAAAGAAAGAAAAAAAAGAAGAAAAAAAAAAAAAAAA